TTTTTCAAAGCGTTAGGAGCTGCATTCGAGCCTCCCCCTGCGCCCCCCTCCCCAGACATCTGGCGCCTCGGAGGCATCGAGGCAGCTGGTCTGTCGTCATTTGTTACCAGCCTCGATCGTATCCCTATCCCTAAGATTGACACGCCAAAAGGCGATGACAATCTTAGGGATGCGCCCTCAAAAGATAAGGGAATCCCTAAGATTGGCATCGTGACGAGGCGATGCCCAGCATAGGGATAGGGATAGGTCTCCGTGAGAAAGGCTTCGGGAAATGAAACCCGACTGAAAACCAGTAAACGCATGATGCTAAACCAACCAGACCAACGAAATCAACCTGGAAAAAAGCAGGATGCCGATTTCCGACCACGAACATATACCAGCGCCGACGCTGAATTGAAAGCGTTAGGAGTTGCATTCGAGCCTCCCCCTGCGCCCCCCTCCCCAGACATCTGGCGCCTCGGAAGCATCGAGGCAGCGGGCCTGTCGTCATTGCAGGGGCCCTGGGACACACAAACAAATACACACAAATAAAAAAGGATGCCCCATAGTTTTCCATCTCTTCTGGGTTTTTTCGTCTTCCCCCCCACTTCCCAAATTTCCCCATCTTTTCTGGGGAATCGAGGATTCACTGTGTCTGTGTGTGTTTCCTTCCCTCCTGAGTCAGTCGGCCCCCGGAGGCGACGTTCGGGCCTCGGGGCCGCCAGCAAGACGAGTCGGAGACGGAGCCGACGGCCCCAGGCAGCGCGGGGGCTCCGAGGGGCGCGTGGGCCCGCGCATCGGAGAGGTCGGAGCGCGCCCGGCCGTCTGTCTGACCAGCCTGGAACACATCCCTATCCCTATGCTGGGCACCTCCCCTGTCACGATGCCAGTCTCAGGGATTCCCTCATGTTTGTTGAGGGCGCGCGTCCCTGAGAGTGTCATCGCCGTTGGGCGTGTCAATCTCAGGGGATAGGGACACGTTCGAGGCTGGCAAGTCTGGGCCTGGACGGGGGAAGGATCGGGGGCAACGGCTTGAGGCTGCTCTGGGAGCCGCCGTGGGTCTCCATGGGGCGCGCCCTCGTCGCCAGGGCCGACTCTCCCTCGAAGCTCCGCTCGGGGGGGGGCCAGACCTGCACGGGCAGGGAGGGTTCCAGGGGGGGGGCCTCTCCGTCAAGAGGCAACTGCGGTGCCCACCGCTCGGGCACGGGCCGCTCCGACGCGACCGAAAAGGGTCGCTCCGTTGTCCGAAGGCCGTTCCGACAACGGCCAGAGGCCGAAGAGCCACCCGCGTTGTGAGCATTCCCACAGCCGAGGCCCATCAGTACTCCAGATTTCGTAATAAAGGGAGGGGGTTCTCATTTCGGGGGGGGGGTCTCTTCCAGGCTATCTTGGAGGGCCTGGGGGGTCTGGGGACGATGTTTTGGAGGGTCCTCCCACGGGGGAGGTCTGAAATGGCTTGTCTTGGAGGGTCCAGACCCCCTCCCTTTTATTACGAAATCTGGAGTAAGGAGGAACAGAGATGGACAAGGCTGCTGGTTCACGCACAGGGTGAGTCATCAAGCGCCAGTTTTCAAGGTCGGGGTGGCTCCTTCTCCCTTCCACAAAGGCGCTCATGGGTTATCTGCCCATTCGTCTTATGGCCTTTACGCGTCGTCTCTCTACTACTACTCCTCTGCACGCTGCCATTCATCTTGTATGGCCACGGTCGGGCCTCGTACAGAAGAACATCCTTCAAGAACATGAGACGCTCCGCCAGCCAAAACACCCCAGACCATAAGATCCTCGAGGGTACCCCCCCCCCCCAAGATGCACAAGAGATCTTATACCTCGGTCCGACCGTACGACTCGTCTTCTTCGTGCTCGCCTTTTCGTTGCTGATTCTTCCTCTCTCCATCTCTCAAACCTAAGGCCCCACCCCGCGACGCAGGCTGGCCGCCAGCGGGTCAGGAGCAGCCCCCTCCCCGGCTGCACAGGGGAGCTCGACGCACGCCGCAGCCTCTGCGCTCCTTGAAAACAGCAGCCCTGCCAGGCCGCTCGCGCTTTGTACAAACTCCTGGCGCGGCGCCGCGAACGGCCTGCTATGTTCGGCGGCGAGCCCGGGGGGGGGAAGGAGAAGGGGCGGGCCCTCTCAGAAGGCTTGGAAGTCCCCGAGCCTTCCGAGAAGTTGTCTAAGCCTTCCCCGAAGACACAGAACACTTCTCAGAAGGCCGGAGGCTTCTGAGAAACCCCGCCGCCTTCTCAGAAGGCCTTCTTCTTCTTCTTCTCCCTTCCCCCCCTCGCTCGCTGCCGATATGTACAATCCTCGACCCAATCTGAGGTAGAACGATTGCCAGCGCGTCTGGCAAAACAGGGCCGTGACCCGAAGGTCTGCCAACTGGGTCGGGAGGAAGGTGTGGGCAAGTTGGGGCAGCCTAGCGGGCCGTTGCCACCCAAGTGCTGCGACTCGGGTGCAGGAGAGGCCATCGATGCTTGCCGCTGTACCGTCAGGGAAAGAGCTTGAACTGCACACGTGTGCTAATTA